GCAGGTTTTCTTGCAAGTGCTGTTGTCTCTCTTCCTATTTATTTTGTTGCTCAAGCTGCCATTGTTGCAGGTTTTCTTGCAAGTGCTGTTGTCTCTCTTCCTATTTATTTTGTTGTTCGAGCTGCCATTGTTGCAGGTTTTCTTGCAAGTGCTGTTGTCTCTCTTCCTATTTATTTTGTTGTTCGAGTTGCCACTGTTGCAGGTTTTCTTGCAACTGCTGTTGTCTCTCTTCTTGTTTCTTTTCTTTTTCTCTAACAACTGCTGTAATCTCTTTTCTTGTTCAATTTCTCATTCTTCTTGTTCCTTTTCTTGTTTATTTTGTTGTTCGAGCTGCCATTGTTGCAGGTTTTCTTGCAACTGCTGTTGTCTCTTTTCTTGTTTCTTTTGCTGTTCTTGTATTGCTGCCATCAAATCTGCTAAACTGTAGTTTGATTTGCCGCTTCTCGTTTCCATCTTCTCTTATTCTTCTTTTTTTTATCCCACTTCTGACACTAATTTGTTACGCCTCCAGTCGTTAATTGATTTTCCGTAACTTCGTTCCAACGAAACTTTTGCGACACAACTCCTTATTTAATAAAATCGGTTTATTCTTTCTGAATATAACTTTACCGATACACTTATTTTCAACAGTCGCTCTATAACAAATGTTTTAACAACGAACGTTAACTTCAACAATACTTTCTGACTGCAGTTCAATTACTCACTACCTACACACATTGTCCCGTGAGCGTCCTATATATATAACAGACAAACATATATCTAGTAAATGCTAGGGCATTCACAAAGGAACACGATATTTCTAGAAAATAGGTGGCGTGACTTCGGTTGTCCTAACAATATTAGTTTAGTAGAAGTATTTGCTTATCACTTTTTAATGTTAGTTTATTTGAAGTTCTGGCCTATCAAGTTTCAATATTACTTTAGTAGAAGCACTGGCCTATCGCGTTTTAATATTGTTACGTCTCTGGTCGTTTGTTAATTTCCCATAAAAAATATTCCCGAGGACCTTCAGTAATACAAGTTCTTTCTTAAATAAAACTAATTTATTCTTTCTTAATACAAATTTGCAATATACAGAATTTCCA